ACCTTTTGTCGCTCGTGGTGGGGGGGCTTGTTGTGATAATCCAGTCTTTGGTGTACAACTGTCAGCAGAAGCTCTTCCAAATGCTGCCCAGGCTCCTGGGGACAGCAGCTGGCTGCCTCTTATTTAAACTCTTACCCCCAAGTGAACAGGATGCCTGCCATACCTGGGTCAGTAATTTGAGTTCCCTTTACAATGCCTTAAAATGTGTTGGGCAGCACAATGATCAGACCTCTGACTGGGCCTGTTACTATGTTTGTGCGCAGCAGTTACTTCAAACGCTTCTGGCCTTATGTTGTACATATGTCTATATCCATTTACTTTCCTTTATCCAGTTCAGGGGCAGGCTACACCCTGGAGAGGTCACTAGTCTGTTACATGGCTAACGCACAGAGACAGACAACCACTCACACTCACATTCACACCTATTACAATCACAGTTAACCACTGATTGCATGTCTTTGGACTGTGGGAGGAAGCTGGAGCACCTGGATAAAAACCACACAGATACGGGTTGGATATGCAAAAACCACACAGATGGTGGATTTGAACCCTTGCTGTAAGACAACAGTGCTAAACACTGCACCATAGTGCTGCCCCATTTACAGGAAGTTTAGGCAAATTCAAAGTCAAATGCTGTGACTAGACAAAAAAGAAGAAGAAGCTGCAGCTACATTGTGGCCACAAGGTGTCTCTGCAACCTCAAAAAGTGGAAAAAGATAAACGTGGAGGGTGGCTCTCCAGCCACTGACTGAACATTAAACGTGTAACTCAATTCATTATGAGGGGTGATGCTTTCACTCTGGTGGAGACATAGGTGTTAAAGTGTGATTTATTTATTTTTTGTAGGGATATATTTATTATTACGTGTGTGAAAAGATCATGCTGATCCCTGGTTTTATTCTATACGGGGGAATCTTATTGCTTTTTAAACTTCTGTCTCTCTTCATTAAAAGCAAAAATGACAATTAAATCCACTTAAAAAAATAAAGACTAAAGATAGCAAGAAAGAAATAGTGAGAGCAAACATTCGCTCAGACTTTAATCTGCAAAATTTCTAAATCTTGAGTGATGTGATCACATGTGATGTATTTTATAAGGTTTTTACTGTTTCAAGTAACCATGAGTACAGCTTTTGTACGCAAATGCTTTTTTTAAGCTTGAAAATCAAACACAATTTGCAGATTAAATCTGTAGA